GATAAGGAAGTTCAAGAATTTGTTCTTAGTGCACCGAAACTTATAACTTTACCATTACAAGATATAAGTAATACATATTTTAATATGAATACACAATTAGGTTTTGAATATGCTGAATTAAAAAAAATATTTAATCAATATGCAAAATTATTTATTTATGATTATAAATTAATTGAATTAAATTTTGATTTTCTTTATAATGAAATGAATATAACTCGACAACGTTTGATAGATTATCCGCCGATACTTAAACAAAGTTTTCAACAATTAAGAACACGTTGTTTGTATTTAAAATATTTAAAACGTCATCAATTTGATCCAACGAAACCAAATTTTGTTTCATTGAAAGATCTTTGTTTAAAAACAAATGAACTTTTTTGTCAACATGTAACAAAAACATCTCCGGGACATTATCTAAATTTCATGAAAACGTTGTAAATGTTGTGTATGAAATTAAACAAAGAACAGATTGTATTTGTTGTATGAGCAATGCAACATGTGTTATAGTAAATACTTAAAAGAAATTGATCTTCGTTTATTAAAAAGTATTTTTCAGTTATGAGTAATCTAATACATTTTTACAGGTAATTGTGATATCACATAAGGTATATGATGCATAACGAATATATACACTGTAACAAAAAGAATCTATCAAACCAAAAAAGAGATTCAAGGGCGGATACATCGTGGGAACCTTTTTTGATCTCTTAAAAGGCGAGGTTTCATACTAAACCGTTCTTGAATAATTCCACAAGAAGATCCTGTATTACATTTTTTTCCCGAACTAAATTCTACTGAACTGAGAACCGTTCGGTGTAAGAATACAGATTTTAAAAAGTTACGTAAACACCCCTTTTTTTACAGTGAATCTTTAATATGTCTAAAATAATCAATACATCATGAATAAATGATTATTCTACTCATCTATTGCTCATTAATGATGAACATTGATTCATAGATTCAGTCAGATCGTCCTTTGATGACATGTCGATATATACATACCACACTTTTTTAACTTTTTCTCCATTATACGAGGCGCTGCTCAAGACAATAACAAAATGATTCGATTCCATTTAATTAAATTCCACATCCGTTGCTCATTTTTTAATTTTTCTCGATGTTTTTTTCTAAATTGTTTCATTCCAACACGAATACTTACGATCACTTTTTTTTTCTTGTATCCATAATACGAAATCTTCTCGTAAAGATTTAGAAACTTAAATATCTCTGAGAATATCATTTACATATAGACCATTGTATGTGTATTACCTCAGCAGTCGGCTCGATGCACTATACTTTTGGAACTTTCAAAATTGTTCTCAGTATCCGCACAACACCTTAAACACAAGATTGGTTAAAAAATAGACAAAACATTCTTCTATTTATTTATCAAATATTCATTATAATTTCTTTTTAACAACTTCAATGCACTCTTTCACGACTTTAATACTAGGATGTGTGGGAGGCAATGCATGTTGCCGTATGTCTAGAGCACGTTCATAATACGAAAGTGTTTTGGAGTATTCTCCCATGTTGTTATACACTAAACCGATGTTGCTGTATAAAGTAGCTAAATCAGGATGATTTGAAGAAAGAGTTCCTTGTTCAATTTCAAGTGCTTTTTCGTAAAATGGAAGTGCGACCGAGTACGCTCCCAATTTGCTATACAACAAACCGATGATGTTGTATGAAACGGCCAAATCAGGGTGATCTGAAGGAAGACTTTTCTGCTGAATTTCCAGTGATCTTTCGTAAAATGAAAGTGCTTTCGAGTACTCTCCCATATTGTTATACACCGAACCGATGTTGCTGTACGAAGTAGCCAAATCAGGATGATTTGAAGGAAGAGTTTTTTGTCGAATTTCAAGTGCTTTTTCGTGTGATAAAAGTGCTTTCGAGTACTCTCCCATGTCATCATACACACTACCGATGTTATTGTGTGAAGCAGCCAAATCAGGATGATTTGAAGAGAGAGTTTTTTCCTCAATTTCAAGTAATTTCTGGTAAAACGAAAGCGCTTTCGAATACTCTCCCATTTTGTTATACACGAAACCGATGTTATTGTATAAAGTGGCCAATGAAGGACGATTTAAAGGAAGAGTTTTTATTTGACTTTCTAGCTCTTTTTCGTAAAATGAAAGTGCTCTCGAGTACTCTCCTACCTCGTCATACATACCACCGATGTTGCTGTATAAAATAGCCAATGAAGGATGATTTGAAGGAAGAGTTTTTTCTCGAATTTCAAGCGATTTTTCGTAATGTGAAAGTGCTTTCGAATACTTTCCCATGTTTTTATACACCCAACCGATGTTGTTGTATGAACTAGCCAAATCAGGGTGATTTGAAGGAAGAGTTTTTATTCGACTTTCCAGCTCTTTTTCGTAAAATGAAAGTGCCTGCGAGTACACTCTCATATCGTTATTTAAGAAACTAATGTCGCTATACGAAGTAACTAAATCAGGATAATTTGAAAAGAGGGATTTTCGTAAAATGAATATGTTTTCGAGTACTCACCCACGTCGTCATACATACTAGCAATGTCGTTGTATGAATTAGCCAATGGAGGACGATTTGAAGAAACAGTTATTTCATATATTTTCAATGATTTTTCGTGAAATGAAAGTACGTTCGAGTACTCTCCCATATTGTCATACACCAAACCGATGTTGCGATATGAAGTAGCCAATGAAGGATGATTCAAAGGAAGACTTCTTTGTCGAATTTCGAGTGCTTTTTCGTAATATGAAAGTACTTTCGAGTAATCTCCTATGTCGTTATACACACTACCGATGTTTTTGTATGAATCAGCCAATGAAGGATGATTTGAAGGAAGAATTTTTTCTCGAATTTCAAGTGATTTTTCATAAAATGAAAGTGCTTTAGAATACTGTCCCATGTGGCCGTACACACTACCCATGTTGTTGTATGTAGTAGCCAATGAAGGATGATTCGATGGAAGACTGGTTCCATAGATTTCAAGTGATTTTTCGAAAAATGAGAGTGCTTTTGGGTACTCTCCCATGTAGTTACATACTGAACCAATGTTGCTGTATGAAGTAGCTAAATCACGATGATATGAAGGTAGAGTTTTTTTAAGAATTTCATGTGTTTTTTCGTAAAAGAAAAGTGCTTTCGAGTACTCTCCCTTGTTATTATACACACTACCCATGTTGTTATATAAAGTAGCCAATGAATGATGATTTGAAGGAAGAGTTTTTTCTCGAATTTCAAGTGATTTTTCGTAAAATGAA